GTCGCCGTCAATGTGATGGAAGCGCGGTGACGACTCGAACGTGAGCACGAGATTGTGAAACTCGTCCGAGACGATCGACGACACCATGATCCCGAACGCGATCGACACTTGCATGCTCGTACCAATGGCTCGTACTAGTACCAATCATTGACGCCGAAACATTAGACAGGACAAGCGTCTGATGTTGGCATACCTGGACGCAAGAGCAAAAATGCACTTTGGCGTGGCAACTGCAATGAACTTCTGAATGCCTGGTCGTTGTGCGGATGTCCCGGCTATGGATTACTAGTAGTGAGCAAGAGGGGATGAGACTAGGCAAGAGTTGCCATAGCAGGACAACGTTTCACGCATGACTATCGTGTTCTACTAGTATTAGTTAATGGAAAAGCTATATCGTTTGCTCAGCGCTTGCGTTTGCTGACGAGGAGGCGATCGAGCAGCGCCTTGAGCTCGGCGTCTTCGATCAATGCCGCCTTGATCTTGAGTTGTTTGGTGGTGGCTGTTGCGTCTGTCGCATGGAGATGGCTAATCAGAAGAGCCAACGACCAGTCGACAACCGCGCCAGCCTCCAGCAGCGTTGATGCGCGGGCTGCCACGTCGGTTGGAAGCGCGATCGTTTGGCTGGCCTGCCGTCCTTGGTCCAGGAGCTCGTGTGTGATCAGCTGGAGGGTCGTCTTGCGGCGGCGGTCGGGCAGCGCGAGCAGATCGAGAAGAAAGCTGACGTTGTCGAGATGGTCGATCGCGTGCATGCAGTGCGGCAGCAAGAGTTTGCTCGCAGTCATGTGCTGTCGACGACCTCCATCTCAACGAGGCACTTGCGCGGGTTGCCAATGCCGGCAGCGAGGAGGTAGCGCGTCGCTTCCGTGTAGTGGTTGGTCGCCAACCAGCCGAGGAGATATTTGTTTTTGCCGATCAGTGGTTGACGGCGCAGAATTAGCGTTGCGATATCAAATTGACCGGAGCTGAGCACTTGCTTGAGCTCATCGACTGAGACGTTTGTCGTCAAGTGGGCAAGAAGGTAGCGCACCGCGTCCCACGCCTTGTGCGACATGGCATCTCGGAGCGGCGGGCCATGATTGCAGTTGCCCGCGACCTCGTCAAGAAAGCGAGCGAGCGGCACGTTGTTCTTGGCGCAGGCTTCCCGCATCCACTTGGCATCGTAGGGACCGCCAAGGTCCATGAAGAGTCGCAGGACATCGATGATCTCGGGCTTGCCAAAGGTACTCCAGTCCCAATCCACACTTGCCGTCGCGCACGTGCACCCGCGTGAGACGAGGTACTTGGCCGTCGCGTAATGCCCGTGCGTCAACGCGTTTCGAAGAGTGAGGTCGGACGCCCTTTCTTCGGTTCTGTTGGCCAAGAGGAACTGGACAATCTCCAAATGGCCCCCAGCGCTCGCTCTTTCGACGGTAGAGTTGGACCAACGATACGAGCCGAGACTGTGGAGGTACTGAAGGACCTCGAGGTGGCCGTTGCCAGCAGCACGACCAATACATCCATCCCACGCGCTCTCGGTGCGGTGCTCGATGAGAAACCGTACGACATTAAGGCGCCCATTGACGATGGCAAAGTTGAGCGCAAGATGCGTGCAGCCTTCGGTCCGGTTCTCGTGAAGAAACTGCACGACCTCGAGATGGCCGTTGGTCGCTGCGTCGTCCATGGCCACCGTCGTGCAGCCCTCGCTTCGATGCTCATGGAGAAAGCGAACGACCTCCAAATGGCCATTGGCCGCCGCCTTGTTCATGGCGTCCGTCGAGCAGTTGACGCCGCGTTCGTGGAGCGAGCGTACGAGCGGCAAGAAGCCTCGGCCCGCAATATCGTCGAAGAGGGCGGGGTACTGAAGCCATGGGAGCATGTCGAGTGCGAGCGTTGCGTTCTCGAGCGTCGCCGCCTGGATGGCCGCTTGGCGGACTTTTTCGGGTGTTTTGTCGTCTTGTTGGTTTTGGGGTCCGGGAAAGTCGTCGGGGCTCGGGCCAAAGCGCTGCAGCAATGCCACGCCTTTAGTGTCATCGCGCGCCAAGAGCGTATCGAGAAACGGACCTGGGAAGCGCCGGATCGAGTGCCCTAGATGACGTGTTATGCGTCGTCCAGGTATTATACATGCAACGTACCCACAAAACAGCCCGAGTAATTTTCGTAGTTGACGCGCTCATAGAGCTCGGACATTTGCTCCCGTGTGTTCAGCAGCAACTCGACAATGTCGAGGTAATTTCGCAGAAAGGCCAAGATGATGGCGTCTTCTCATGCAAAGTCCGGGCGGCAGCGTAGAATGCGCTTGGTCAGCGGCAACAAACCGTTGTAAATGGCCACGTGCAGCGGGAGGCGGTCATCCCGGCGCGACTTGTTTAGAGCCAGCGCTGAAAAGCGGACGGGCCCCGTAGTAGGATCGGAAGGCCACTCGGCGGATGGCGCAAACGCTTGGCCAAAGGACGCGTCGCACACGTAGCAGCATTGCTCAGCGATGAACTCGTCGAGCTCGCTGCAGGCGTGGAAGGCCGTACGCACGTCTTCATAGACACCAAGCTGAAACGCAAACACGATCGATGCGATCGCGGGCTGCGCAAGGATGGTGCTGACGAAGGTCGCTGCCATAGTTGGGCGACCAGTTGTGGGTGGCGCGCCAATTCAGCCAATGGACGTGCTGCAAAGTAGTTTATCCGGATTGCCGGGGATTGTCATGAAATGTGCACGTTAAACTGCGTTAAACCAAGTACGCAACGGGACTAAATCTCGACGCTGTATGAAAACATTCGCACTTTATTATTGTAGCTCGAGAAAGCAGTGGACGTCGCCAACGTTTTACGCGTCAAAAGGGCCTTGGGTGCAGCATGTCACCCCGAATGGGTCAAATCGGACGAGATGCAACACGAGAAGCCCTTGCGGTCGAGATGGCGCGACAACTTGGAGCTGACCGCTGCCTGTAGTCACTGCTCGGAGGCTGGTCACGTGTGAGCCCTGATGGCCTGGAATCGAAAGCGGTTTCGGCTAGTCGGCTGAGCTAGCCGACTTAGCCAGCCGGCTAGACTAACCGGCGCTGAGATTGTGTGAGTTCTGTGCGTGGTGGAAAACGTCATCGCCAAGGGCTCTGGGAACTTCCCAGAGCCCGCGTCGCTGTCTTTATTGCGGCTCTCATTCACAGCTGTTCAAGTGCTACGTTTTGTTGCCGAGCCGTCTGGATGCATCCCGTTCAGGCGACTAAAAACTGCCGCAAACGACGGCCAGGGTAGTACGAGATCGATGTACCTTGGCGTGGAAATTGCGTGGTCCGTGGCATTCTCAAAGAAATCATCAATTCGCATTTGTTTTTTTTGCACCGACAGGACGACGACGATGGCAGAACGATCTGCGCGGCCGCCATGTACTCAAGCGCCTAGAAGCCGTACACGCAGTCGCGGGCTCCGCTTCTTGGTGTGTAGTCTACTCAAAGACGTACGTAATCTAAATCCAAGAGAATTCCCTTGTCTAAATCTAACAACGCGTAGTGCGGAGGTTACTTTTTCGCAACATCTACCCACATTCCCTTTGATGCCAAAATCTGTGTGCCTCGATGCTGGCCACACGAAACGCCACGTCATCATCCGGATATCATCCTTAAATCCGGATGTACCCAAACGAAGCCATTCCGCGGAAGCTTCGCGAAGTCAAACTCGTGCTCGTCCCATGCGCTCCCTAAAAGGATGCAGACAGCTCGCAGGAATCGATGTGGAGAACTTGTCGATTATGGACCTATTAATATATAAACCATAACTATTCAGGGGTTCTCAATTTCCCTGTTACGCTCTATCCACGAGCCAGCAAGACCGCTTGACCGCTTGACCTGGAACCTGGCGACAGGCAGATGCGATGGAGCCAGTCCATAGAATCTATAGGGTAGAGTCCAGGCACGTGAGGTAAAAGGCCCGTATTTCATGCGGCACAGGTTTTAACGTATTTAACCTGTCTCGACCATCTCTATTTCTGCTGGCGCCATGCAGAGCACCGACCAGTCGGCCGTCCGCTCGGACGACGAGAACGACGCCTCCACCGACCGTCATGACGTCGCAGTCGAAGCTGCACCCAGGACGACGTGGTGGGCGCACAAGGACGACCTCATCTTGCTCACGCAGGCCAACACTGATCGCCCATTCTTGGCCGAGAGGGGCCTCATGGCGGCCTGGGATGCCACCGCGGCCAGCATCAGCCAGGCTCCGGACTTCGGACGACCAGGCGTCAACGGCAAGAAAGCGTCCAGTCGCTTCTTCAAGCTCATCGAGGCCCACCGGCTGTACATGAAGCAGGCGAAATACGCATCCGGCGAGAACGACACGCCCAAGATTAGGCTTCTGGACGAGATTGTCAGGCGCATCGACGACCACAACAAGGCAAAGGCCAAGGAGATCATGAGCAAGAAGACACCAAGAAGCGAGCCCGACGAACCGGCGCGTCTTGTTCGAGAGCCAGCGCCAGCGCCAGCTCCAGTAGCCCGCGGCCCCAAGCGACCTCGGACCAGCATCGCAGCATCCGACGACGACGACGACAATCCAGTGCCAAGCCGCAAGACGACGGACGCGGAGTTTCAGCTGCGCGTCATGGAACTGGAGCTCGAGCGCGAGCGCATCGC